GGTGGAGCAAAGCCCAATGTGATTCCCAGGATGAGTACAAGTGGTGCGGTGCTGGCGACAGCAATCCGTCGCCATCGCCTTCGAACGCTCCCAATCCTTCGACTACCTCCAGCCCCAATCCTTCGACTACCTCGAGCCCCAATCATTCGACTACCTCCAGCCCCAAGCCTTCGCATACCTGCAGCCCCAAGCGTACCCCTTCCAGCAACCCCTCCACGACTAAGCAACCGACGCTGCCCCCATCACCTGGAACCCCTGGTGTTCATAAGAAAGTGAGCTGGAACTGGTTTACATCATCTACCACCGATTGCGACGCCAGCTTGAGCAAGGACACGTTGAACCGTGGGTTGTACATCGGAGGAGAGAATATCCCTGCCGACTGTGGCAAGACCGCGTCTTTCACTTACGATGGCCGCACCGTCAAAGCTACGTATGCTTGGCGGACCACTGGGGGCCAAGGCTACAACGAGTTGTCACCTCAAGCTTTCGCCCAATTGCTTGGCTCAAACGCCAATGCCGCCAACTTTAACTCAGCAACTGACTTTCAAGCTGCTATTAATGACCCCGGCCATGTTTTCTCCACGTGTTCGGGAACGTGCTAAGCTGCCACTGGTTTGTTAATTTTTATAGTAAAGTTATATCGAGTATACCAGTACAGCTTATGCCGTGTTAATGTGTAGCCTCGAAAAATACCTGGCCAACTTTTGGCTTGAATGGACTTACAGTTCAGAACCACCCACAAATTATCGCGGCGTGACTTGCTTGCGCATACAATTCGGCAAGACATTCCAGCGATCTTCCCATCACAGACAAAACTGGGCTTGCTGGATTCTTGTTGTCTGCGCCGGCTTGCACAACCAGCTACCGTGCTCACGACGGTAGACTTCGATGACAAATCCAAAAGTGTCTTCATTATCATTCAGGTTATGTGCCCATCAACCAGCGAATCACTTCGCTGTAATCCAGGCATCACAGTCAATACACTTACAGTGTACCGAGGGAGGTTCGGTAAGTCCTAGCCTGGGCCTAAATAGGAGCCACCGAGGGACTAATTAGTTGCTCCCTCGGCGAGTCTAAAAATAGAACCCGACTGAACTCACTGTCAACTGCACACACACTTGCACGGGTAGTTGAACCGAGGCACGGCCGAGAACACTTCCCCC